CTTTTGAATTGAATTTTGTATTTTTTCTAATGTATGATATGTTCGCAAAATAATAAATAATAAATAGGTAATAGAACACATGAATGTCCTTACAACGTATTAGGAAATTATATTTATTTTTAATAAAACTAAGATTTTTGATAAAATACATTTTTAACCAACGATTGATCGTCCAAATTGACAGATTACTTAATAAAACTTTTGACAGCTCTTTGACCACCGAAAAACGCTTTCAGAAACTCGATTTTCTGTTGATCGTCCGTTAATCAGTGACTAATTGCAAATCAAAATCAATGTTGTTTTCAGACGTTCTAGCAACTCAGATCATGTTAAACAACGATTGACAAGAGATTTATCGTAAATTAAAATTGATTGCGCTTTCGGAAACTGGGTGTTAGTGTTATATAAATATTTTATATGCATTAAAACCTAAGTATATGCCGCAAAACAATATAATACTCTAAATACGAGTATGACCGTACTAAACTGTTGTTTAAAAAAAAATTGAGACTAATTTTTTAAAAGAATTTTCTATTTCACGTCACAAATCCTACCACTGTTGATGTTTTCTGTAATTATTTCTGTTAGAATATAAACTTTTACTTTTACTTTGTTAATATAAACTTTTACTTTATTAATTTAACAAAGTAAAAGTTTATAGTGTCCGGAATTTTGACCATTTTTTATTATTCTTTACACTTCGCTTTGCTAGAGACTTCGAGCTATTACTTTCCTCTTTAGGTTTAGTTTGGTTTTTATGATTTGTGATCACGCTTTGATACAGGGAAACATGAATGGCAAAAAATACGACCTTAATTTTTTCTATTTAATAAATCTAAAATTTATTAAATAGAATAAATTAAGTTGATATCAAATATCTAAACATTGTAAGTTATTTTCGAAAAATAGTTTAAGTCTAGAAAATATTGACTGGTGTACATTTCCGAGGAATGTATGGAATTGTTCATAAATGAGTTTTCTACAATTGACTTATATCCCCTTTTCACTACAAATGATTATTGTTTCTTACAAAGTTCATTACTGCCAAGTGAAACAAGCATTGAAAAAGCTTTTTCATTATGTATATATTTAATATAAACATTTTTCATTCCTGTATATAAATGAAATGAAAACGTAAGTAAAATAAAAAGTGTTTTTCGGTTATATGTTTTTTAAAACTATTGATAAATTGTAATAAAATTAGTTGACATAATTATTGTTATATGAACAAAACGATTACGTAAGAAAATCCTTGTGTTAACCTAATTCTAGACAGCGTATAACAATCTATAAACTTTATAAAATTTTAGATGACGGTAGGATTATGTTTCAATTTCGACTTAAGATGAACTGAAAAGGGTAATTTTTATAAATAATCGAAACCGGTTCAATGGTAAGCTGTTCTAAGACCATGCTAAGGGAAAATGGATATAGGTGACCGCAGCGGAAATCCGAGTGTGAGTGTACCGGCCGTAATGTCAGGCGGGTTAACTAATTGGGAAGGGCGGGTCGGATGTGCGAACAAGGCAAATGAAGATTTATCATACCGCTACCTTTGTCGCAGGAAGGCAGTTACAGTTTTACGTGCGTAGCCAATGTATTTGACTTCGTATTTCTCAGACATTTTGTAGAATTTCAGCCAAAAGATTTCTGTTCGTATTACCGCTGCCCGTATGTTTAGTGACTACCCATGGATATCTACAACCTGGAAACTGGAGGGGTACAGCTGCTTTGTAAACTAAATGTGAATAAAGTTGAGAATGTAAACAACACTCATAAAACGAAACGCAAAAGTATACAACTTCTATTTAACACTCTTGTAAGCCGCTATACTCCCCCGTAAGAGTCTACCGATTAATAAAACAGCAGAAGCTGTTGCAGCCCTGTAACACAGTTCATATGTGTACCAAAGACTGAGAAGTATGGCTGACGTATTTGACTGCACCAATTTGAAGCTCATTTATTTACTGCGCTACAAGAGCGCGCAAAGAGCTAAGTAATTGACGTTAATTAAAATTCTAGAACTTTAAGGAATAGACAGTTGAAAAGTATACTTTTTTATGGTTCATTTCTTTTGAAACCCTAAAATATAATCAAATATGTTTTTACAAGGATTATTTAAATCTCAGACCGAGATATTGTCTATAACCATAACACAAGAATATATATATAATACCACTTTTTTTTATATTACTTATTTGATTAAATTGTTTACAAAATCTTATTAGGATTTAAATCCTAAAATAAATAGTAGGTATTTATAATATTGTTCTTCATTAAGAGTCATTCATTTGAAAATAAAACTTACACTTACTATAAATAATCCACCTTTCATGACATTTTGAAGGAGGCATTTTTTTACGCAAAGCCCTAAATAGCGGAAAACGCTGTCTTTTATGATTTCAAAGGAAAGTCATGATTTACATCGACTACACTTAATAACTTAATTCAAGGAAAGCAAATTTTGCTAGAAATCGGAATAAATGATTTAATCACTGGAAGTAGAGACATCAAAGGAAAATTATATGAAAATTATCCAACTGTGAAGACCGTTAAAATTAGGTGTCGCCGTAAAGAATAAGTATGTCTCCAGGATCGAACGTTGAGTAAGAAAATGACTGTGGGAAGAGTATTTCACGGGCCACAAATTTCCCCGTGAAAACAATCGTAAAATGCTTTTATTACTCTAACATTCGCCATTGATTCACGGTCTGAAACAATAAAAATACTGACTCAATCAACCTACCGAATTTTACGAGCTTTATAGGTGAGTGGATTTATGGTTCGAGCTACAATAAAATAATGTTTCATTTACACCTCAATGTAAAAGTCTATTTTGTGCTTTTAATGTTTCATTGTAATAACACCGCAATACTTTCCTTGAAAGTCGGTGCTATTAGAAAATTCTTATATTTACTAACATATTTTATGTCCACACTCGTTTACAACTGAACTAAACCCGAGACCTTAGGTGCTCTTAGACTAAATGTGCGCTTTCGGCGGCCATTGATTGGTAATGAAAATTGTACTAGGAAATATACTGCCTACTGCCTACTAAATATATGTCATCCTTCCAGCTTTTGGCAATTATCGGTTCTAGGGCATATATAATGTTTAGTATTCTTGCGTTAGTATAATACTTGATAGAGACCGATGTAAATAATAGCCAATATACACCGAGTACTAAGTCGGTGTCTATTGGATATTACTTAACTAAAACTAGGCGAAAAAACTAGTTTGTGAGTATTACTCACAAACTAGTTTTTTCGCCATTATTTCAACATGTGAATCTTGTTGTTAATGGTGTTAGCTAGATTTTTTACGAGTACCACCTGCTTACATTCAACTCTTGTTTGGATCCATATATGACCATCCATTCAGATGCAGAACTTTAACGGTGTGTGGCTTACACAAATACTTGTAAGCGATCGAACCCGCAACACTCAGTGCGCAATCCATAGCTTAGCATCTGCGCCACCGAGTCATCCTAGTTACAAGTTAATTTAACATCCAATATTTATTTATGTAATATTTTAAACTAATATGTTAATTTTATGAGAACCTTTGCGTTATATTATATTTTAACGAAGTTTAAGTTTAACGTAAGTATATCAAATACAAAGTTATAAAGTACGTCAAAACCAACTCGAATTTATATCCATAATGCTTTAGTTTATTGTCCTTTTCTTTCGTTGCTCATTTTTCTTTCCTTTTTTTCTGGGTGCAAACGGTAAAGAGAAACTTAATTGGAGGCTTTTCTGCCGACTCTCCGCCTCAATGAAAAATTACGAGCTAAACGAGCTCACGCTTGGGAATTTCATACTCATTCACGAGAGTCCGCAGAACGAAATACTCAGCCTTTTTTGCGTAAGACATTCTTAACTTAAATGAAGATACGCTTTTATAAATTAAGGGTTATATGTTATTTATTAACCAACTTACGTTAGACTGTTATAGTTAACATGTAATACCACAGTACAATATGTTTTAGACATTATGAGGAAATCTATACGAAAATAAAATAAGTTATTTAGTGCCAAAGAGAATTCTATTGATCATTAATATTTATACAGGACATGTTTTAATACGATCTAGTCGCAAACTAGGCAAAATTTTATTTATTTCATAGAATTTGTGCTTTTTGGCTATGACTTCGAACGAATGCAATAGATAATGTTAATATATTTAAACTAATGCAACATATTGATAATAAAAATATTCTTAAAATAAACTGTACCAAACTATCGATGTAATGCTATCGAAGTATTATTTCTTCTATAACATTATATCAATGATAATTATATGATCTAAAAATAATGTTCGTTTTGAAGGTCTTTTTTAAATTCTATTACAAATAATTGTACTTATATTAAAGATAAATCAGCTCTAATCAATTTCTATAAAGCATAGACTTGACACGTGTTATCTTCTGATAAATTATGTTTATATTATTTAAATATCGTAAAGTGATATCATCAATATAATAATTATTTAGAGATTGCAGATTCCTTATGACTTACAAAACATCCAAGTACGCTGATAATAAATAATGACGTAGCCATTCGAAATAAGATGTTTGCATAGAGTATTGTTAATGTTTTGCGGCATTCTAGTTTGTAGATGAAGAAAGTAAAGTGTATAAAATTTTAATTATGGAACATATGCCGCGGAAAGATTTTTAGAATTACATTTCTAGAAAGCTTTACCGAAATTTATTAATAATTTTCTATATCATAAACATAATCTAATATTAACAGGTTTTTGTAGTTTACACCTTTTAGTTTTAACAAATGGTTGTTCAATTTTTCTAGCAAATTCTGATAATTTCCTCCACAGCAGATCATCATTGTTTGGCGATTAAATAAAAAAAGTATTAATCATATAGTTTTATTTATTCTATTAAGTAACTATTTACAAGATTTATCACAATGTTCACAGTCAATACACATTTTATAAATACAAAAATTACAAACTTTTTTTATTAATCTATACATTTTCTATACACAACTTTCTGGTCCTGGTATATCTTCGGCTATGAGGTGCCCACGTTTACTTATCGTCACGGTATTCATAGTGATTGGCTGTTTATTTGAAATTGCTACTCTCGGCGATGAAAGAATCTATGAAACAAGAAAGTATAAAATTAATAATTAGGAGAAAAAATAAATTGCAAAATTTTCAATGGACGAAAGGTAAAAATTCGCTTATATCTATTTACGCTTATATTTATTTACTAACGGAAACTCGATTACTACCCTTACAATGAAATCATGAGGTAAATATAGATGGGGGAGATATTATCGAATTCAGAATTCTGGAGTTAAGTATAAATTAATTGAAAGATTTTCTCACATTGTACGATAAAAGTCAAACCGATAAAAGCCTATCAAAGCAAATAAAACTAAATGTTGTACCAGTGACTAAAATAAACTTACGGGCTGAAGTGGTTCTTGACTAGCTTCTAGTGAATCGTGCTCACCCATTGTCCATTCTTCACTTATTTTGAGAGTACCATTTTTGACAGCTAATTCTATATTGCATTTCTCAACCGACGAGCTTCCAGAATCTTAAAAAAAATGTCATAATTTCCTAACACGAAACATATACACGTGTATTATTTCTGAATGTCAATAAGTTTAGTATATGAAAACATAAAACCAATGACGCAGCATTAAAGTAACAAAACAAACAATATATATTTCAATAAAGTTAAAATGTATGTTCATACCCCACTTTCAACACTTTACAAAATTCGTTTTGTAATGAGCCTCTAGGGATACCGAGTGGAATTCGGTTAGCTTTATTGCTTTTACCCTATGGGCTCGTGCTTTGTGAAAAGTTCGTTCAAAATAAATTTAAAATAGATATTGTATTGCAATATAGCTAAATTTATGATGAGTTTTTTTTTTACGTTTACAATTAGGACCTTTATTCGCACAAGCAATAGTTACGCTGCCAGCGTGATTATACCCCAAGGAGTTATTTGGTAAAGGTCAACTTTGATTACGTTTTTGGTGTAAAGGACATTTACTTATTTATTACTCACCTTGTGGCGGGTTAAGAATATCGGGTTGACTTTGTTTTGGTGGTTTTATTGTAAATGCCACAACATATTGACCATCCCCTGAGTTTAATTGCAAATGTGACGTATGTTCCTTCGCTGGTGAGTGTCTTCTATAATTCGGAAAAGGTATAATATTATATACTAGCTGCTGCCCGCGACTACGTTAGCATAGAATAGGCTGAAGGCGTAACATTCAGACAGAAAGACAGATATACATAAAATATGTATAAAAATAGTCTATGTCTTATTCTGATGTATATATAAGCTATATTATTATAACGTTTTATTAGAATCCATTCAGTAGTATTTTCTTGAAAGAGTAACAAGCATCCATCCATACATAGAAACTTTCGCGTTTATAATATAAGTAATATTAGTAATTAAATGTTGTATTTTTGTTATTATCTATAATAATAAAAATACAACGTTTTAATAGATGCTGTTAATATTCGGATGAACTCCGGTAACTGGTCTGTTTATTAAGTTAACATTTATTTAATTCAAAAATATTTTTATAATTTATATTTTTAAATTTATCTGATAAAGTTACGCCCGGTTTCTGAAACACTGATCATCGTAAAAATTTGCTTTTGGCAACTCAAATGACATTTGAAAAGTCATTTGACAGCTGATTAGTTAATTTCTACGCTGATCGGGTGAGAAACCGGGCGTAATCGCATCATTAAGACTGATATTTTGAAATTTCTAGTTTTTTAGGGCATTTGTTGGTCTCTTTCTGCGTTTATTTTTTTTTTTCAATATCTATGTCTGAGAGTCTACACTAGATACAATATTCTCAAAAGATGATATGATAATCTAAGAAAAATGCACACGTATTTTCCCTATCATTAGGCAGCAAAGTATTGGACGCATTAGACAAGTCAGTTATTAATACACTAATTATATTATTGGTATTCAATAGTCTTTGTCAAAGTTATATGCAAGTGAATGACATAAATTTAAGCTTTTTTACCTTCCAAATAAAGAAACCTCAAAAAGAAAAACTTTACCTTTTTCTTCGTAAAAACAATCCCGTTATCACTGCCGTTACTGTGCAAACGACTACAGTTAGAACGACAGTCCAGAAAGCAGCTCTAGAGACTCCGGCCATGAGACTGTGATTCCCATCTGTACCAACAAAGACTTCTATTAATAATTAACAATACTGTATGAAATAAAAAAACGGAGATATTTTATATTCTTGCATTAGGGGAGGGGGGTTTCAGTCTTTGTGGGGGGAGGGGGTAGTAAGTGAGTTAAATTGGACTCAAAAGAGAACCCCTCTTTTCAAGAGGGATTGTGAAATATAATCCAACAAATCATAAAACTTTTAGAAAAGTAGCGTTATTTTACCTGTGCGGCGTTCAGGATCTTGATAGGCCAGTGCGCTGAGCATAATCCTTTCGGATACTCCCTTTTCATTTCTTGAATAAACTGTGAGCCGCAAAGCTGCATTATTTACCCATAGCAGCCCGACAGGAATGAGAAACATCGCTACGCCATCTTAATTTCACACAAAGTTAATTATTTTAGCGTAAACTAAATATCTTTCCCACAATTAGTATTATCGCAGGTAAAACTTAAGTATATTGTATTAACATTCGCTGGGTTATTATGCTCGAATATTAGGCCAATGTTTCTGAATACAAATTTCATAATTATTCGTAAGTAAAGATTATTCAACATCACATATAAATTCGTGTTTACAAATTAATTTTGTGGTAACATACTTGTTTCGTTTGCAGTAATGTTGAACTTTACTGTTCCAGAAATAGGGTCCAAAGCTTCTAACACCACTAGCTGAGGTAGGCCGCCGTCGTAACCAGTAACGCAGCGAATTACGATGTAATCCTCAATTTCATCCTTAAATGTGTCCTCGATCCAATTAGAATCGTTGCTCGCCAATACTGTACAGTTACGTGGAGGCGCTGGTCTGGCTAAATAGGGAAGACAATTGAACTCTTCTTTACAATCGTCACGAGCAATAACTCGAACATGGATTAAAATAAATCGACCTCAAATTTTAACGGAGCTCGTATTTCATTAGAAACTCACCTTAAATTTATAAGTTTATTTACGTTTTCTATTCACATGTTATGGGTTTTTGCTCTTTTTTTGTTATGAAAAGAAAAAAAAATCACGAGAATTACTTACCAGCTGGCACAATTTGAAAAATGCATGGTTGCAACTGGCGGCCGACCACATTTGTGCCTCGGCAGGTTAGTGCACCATAATCTCTTTCGCTCGCCGGCGTGTAGCGTAATTCACTAGTGCTTCCGTTAATGACTCCTGAGAATTTAATAAATTTTCAAGAATACCTACACTTTTATTTATTATTAAAATATTGACGGCCGGTTATTCGTAAAAATATTGAACGTTATTGTTGTTACGCGTAGGATCGTTAGTTTCCTTTTCTTCTCCAAATATATAAATTTTATAAAATTACTTTTATTTTATACGATACAAATATAAACAGAAAATTCAACGCAGTCCAACAGAAAACATTCCGATAATAACGTATATTTCTTCGATTGCCCCCTTACGAGTTTTTCTATGTGTGTATTAGTGCCAATTTATTACATTATGGACATCAATAATGGTTTTCGGTCAGCCTTTGAAGTAGTATGCCCCGGCTACCGAACTCACCAGATGAGATGCAAAAACATATTTTAATACTTACACATCACACTAGTGTTCTACGGCCATAGTACTTTCCCGGAATAGTTTGCCCATGCGGGCAGTGTCCTCAGTCAATTCTTACGTTTCTACACCATTCATGCGAGCCCGATGAAATTTGATGAGTTTACGTTTCAAAGTTCGAAGAAATAATGTGAAGAACATCAAAGAAAATTGCAACGGGCGAGTATTGGAAATGACACGTATGAGGTAACATTATATTAGCAACATATGGATAAAATGACATATTTACTGGAACGTTACAATCCGAGGGAGCAGACATCAATGTGTTTACATTATCGCCCAGGGTGCTGACAACATGTCTCGATTAGCCTTATCTGTAAAAATAGGAACAAAAGTCGTGACAACGTGTAAAGAGTACATGACTCGTAATTCCTACCAAAACGAGCTGGTGAGACGTTGAAGCTTTCACCGCTGTTATTGAACTGCCATAGAAATGTGACATCTGCTGGATCGGCGTGTACTGAACATCTCACGTGCAATTCTTCGTCTAAAGCTGCTCCGACGATTTGGGGAGACACGTCGCTACACACCGGCGCGTCTGAAATAAAGCTAGTTTCACAATTTTGAAAACCCATAGTCCTACTTCTTCTAAGTTTTTATGAGTGTGTTATAATTTCACAAGTTTATCTCATGGTAACTTCAGTTTATTTATCAAAAACGTTATACAATCGTTAATTTTAAATAGTCATTTCTTAGTAAATTAAGTAAATGGTAAGCAAGACAGAAAACAATACGAAACTAATTTTAGAAAGGTTTTGATGAAAACATCTCTAAAACGAATTTTTATCAATCAAGTTCCTTTCGCGATATCAAATATGTATTGCTGCGTGAAAAATATTTTTCAAACACTGACACGAAATTTGATATCGACTTCGACGTATTTTATTTTCTCCATTCCCCTCTGCTATTAAGTTTCGAGCAGTGGGCATAAAATATTTTTGCGTATGCAAATGTTGGGATGTATAACGACATCACGTATTTTAAATTGCATTGTATTCATATACTGAACTATGCTTATTCAATTCTGTCGGTGAATAAAAATATATGAATGAATTCCAAATTTGCCAATTCGTTAATTGCCACCTCCCTTTTTGTGTTATTATTTTATTGAAAGTTTTATTTTTTTAAGTATATAAAACAAACGTGTTATAAGACAAAATCAAACTGCAATAATCAGAAGTCTAGATAATGGTATATAAACTTATATAGAAGCAAGTTCTCACTTTACGATTTCTACCTACAGAAATTTATTCCATTTCCACTAACACAAAACAAAGCTCTATGAATTAATGTGTGCCCGCAAAACAACAGATTGCGAAGGTTCGTGGTGAGTCGCAGTAATATTAGGCAATAATTTCGATGATTTACTACTGTTGCTGCCTTCCTCGGCGGCAATTACTCGGCGGGCAGTCGGCCGCGGAAGGAAGTGGGCACGTCGATCCCCGCAGCAATCATTTGAATACCTACTCGCAGATACAACGATATTTATTGCGCCGTAACTCATACTCCGCAAACCGTACAGTGACATTTTATTGTTGAAATACATGTCAATGTATCCGATGTTTGCTGTACGGACGTGAATAAATTACGCCCTAACTGCTTATTCACTAACGCCTTGCTTACTTTCCGAACAAGTGTAAATAATTTAAAAGTAAGACAGGGCGTTACGGTCGACGATTTTATACACAAACGAAATTAATGAAAACTTAATTAAGCCAAATGAAGAAACTCTAAATTGGAGGTGTCCGAAGGTAATTATAGTATCAATAAAGGTTATTTTGTCCAAGGCTGTATTTGTTTTTTTTTTCTTTTCTTTTTTTTATGGATTTAACAACTTTAACAGAGCGTTCCTTTCTATTTTGTCTATTCAATATTCTCTTTTTAATAAAATGTATCCCTGTAAAGACACGCTACGTGTTTTTGTTACTGTTTTTCTCCTTTATTAACGTTCCGCTACCGTGGTGTATAATTGTATTAAAATGAAGAATAATTTAATACTTACATTAAATGAAACTAGTTTACGGATTTTATCGCGTTTAAATTTTTATTTCGGGAATCACAAAATCAAACCTAGCGTTCATGATCACCGGACAGAAGGTCTGTCGTAAACTAGTTTCATTTAATATGTATAATATTCACGTAAAATCAAGAAGTTAATATACGAACACAGCCACTGTCAAATAAAGCTATTTCATTTTTTATCATGTTTAATTTTCTTTTATATGTTCCGACGATTCAATATTGTTGCTCAAGGAATGTGGTCAATTGTAACGGGAAATATTATACGAGATAAATTGCAGGTACTTGGCTACACACTAAGCCAAATTTGTGTAAGGACAGGTTGCTAAACGATCAAACTATTTGCCATTAAATCTTATAGCTTAACGTTGCTATATTGCTAATTTCGTTGTTTGAAACTTGTCTTTAGGTATAAAGTATGGAATCATTTGACCCTGTTCGTAATTAACCATGACATTACTTACATTGTACTCGTAATGTCACTATTTCGCTGGAAGTTTCTCCACGAATATTGGCGGCTTTGCAAGCGTACCTTCCCGCCTCCCTCCTTGTCACTCTTTGTAGAACGAGGGACCGAGTGCTTAAAATGATTCCGGACGTCATATTTTGCGTCACAGGTATATCCTAGAAAATCAGTTCGATAAAAATTTATGTGAACACACCTATCACAACACTGTTGCAGTAAACGAGTAGAATTAAATTTAATACACCACTCCCTGAACATATAACGTAAAAATGTTCTGAAAACTCGAATATAACACACTCGTTGCTGTTGTGAATATTAGATTTTTATTGGGAATATATCACGCTCGCTTTTGTTTTATAGCTCGAAAACAACCATTGATCAATCATCTACAGAGCAGACGGTGACATTCGCGTCTGGGAATGAAATTTCAATCCGCAGCTCAAATTTTTTGTTTACATTTATCTTACAAATTAAAATCATATAGTTTTAATACCTATAAAATATAAAAAAGATGCCTTATTAGGCAACTTTTTTATATTTCAAAGGTAAGTTTTTTCTTACTACTGAAACTATACATAGAAAAATTTACTTATTTATTTATTTAATTTTTATTGCACTAAAAATTGTACAAAGGCGTGCTTAGTGCTATATTGCATTCTCTACCAGTTAACCCTAGGTAGAACAGAGACATAATGAAAAAGGGCAGTAAAGTACTTGTAATGGTTACATAATCAAAAAAAATATTTCATAATTAGGTTATAAATCTAAAAACTACCAACATAAACATACGTAGATGATAATACTTACATATTCATACATACACAGTAAATATACTTAAATATTCATATTACATATAACTAACCTAATAATATTTATATATGAATATATACCAGATGTTCGTACATAGTAAGCACTATTAAGGTAGCTAAGACTCAGCAAGGATATGCTCAAACAATTTTCTTTTGAAAATATTTTTTGTTTGCGATTGTCGCAGGTCAACAGGCAACCTGTTTCAAAGTGAGATAGAAGTGACAGTGAAAGAATTGGACATGAAACCGGAGAGATGAGAGGGTAGACAGTAACGAATTCTGAGAAGAGCGAAGATTGAGGGAATGCGAGTCCCCGAGGATATGAAAATTTTCTTTTATATAGGAAGGTGTGGAGGGGTCATAGAGGATTGAAAAGAGAGTAGATAGGATACGAAATTCTTTGCGCTGGCGTATCGTCAACCACTTTAGTTGACTACGGAAGTGTGACACGTGGTCATATTTGCGCAGCCCAAAGACAAATCGTATGCAGTTATTGAGTAATCTCTCCAACTTGTTTAGCAACTCCTGAGATATGTTAGTAAGACAGACATCAGCATAGTCGAATAATGGAAAAATAAGAGACTGAACAAGAAGGAGCTTAGTGGAGGACGGCAGAAAGGCTTTAAGACGATATATGGAACGAAGTATGCCTGTTAGCCTGCGACACATCTCAGTTATATGTAGTGACCAGGTGATCTGAATCATATATATAAATATCATATATTTAAAAGATGGCACCGCATCTATATCCAAAATAAAAACTTTTACAATGTTCGTGACATTGATACATCACGAAGTTCTTACTCATAGAATACTTAGGCCACTTACATTGTGAAACCATGATATCCGATGTTCTCGAGGGTTCGATCGAACGTTACACTCAAAATACACGTCGTCGCCCTCCTTGATGTCATGTGGGTTAAGTGTAGTACCTAATGTCAATGTCACCAGCGGACTGTCTGGAGGAGAAGATGAATTAGTTGCTTAAACATTTCAAATATTAGATTGGAATGATCAAAATAAACACAGTTTGGGACTTAATGAATGCCTATTAAAGGGATTAGTCTTACTGGCCGTCTCTATTTGAAATATGAACGTTATTACTACAGAATTTGTTCGATTAGTTACAAAAACAACTAAATACATTTCCATTTAATTACAAAAAAAAATCAGGTTTTAGACAATAAATAAAAGCAACTCACATACGACGTTGAGATGAATTTGATCATCTATTTCCTTCCCCGGTAGGGCTGGGTTGACTGCACCACACTTAATAAGTGCCCCGTTGTCAATTGGCGTCGGTTTAAATATCAATGTGCTCATAGACCATGTCTCATTAATATATTCGCTTACCTATTTCATAAATTTCTTAATATAACATTAATTTGTTACTGCTGTAAAAATTACCTATAAAATTAAAGCCAGGAAAAAGCATCAAAAGACAGTAATTACCTTATCCATTCCAAAACTCCTATTGTCTTTATACCAGCTTATTTGTGCTGGGGGTCTGCTACCTTTAGTGACGCATCGTAATGTAGTTAGTGAACCCGCAAGTAATTGCTTGGGCTGATCCAACAATGAAACGGAGAGTGGCAACACTGCATAAGAAAGAAATAAAACAGAAGATTCACACATTTGTTTACAATTTGTGAAATTTAACAAGAATACAATCTGACGGCTCGTACCCTAAAGTTATAGAGAGCTCAAGGTAACTTTTGAGTCTAATTTTAAACACAATGAGCTTTCTTAAAGTGGTTAACAATAAATGAGAAGCCTATGTCTATATAATATAAGACACAACATTAATTGATACATATTCCGAAATGTAAAGTTTTAGGTGTAAGTTTCAATATTTAGATTGAAAGTGATACCTCCATATCAACTTATTTGGTATGTATTTTATCTCTATATGTTAAATCTCAAATGTGTTTGTTTATTTTATTATTATATAGTTATTATTATTCTTTATCATATTTAATGACTTTGACACAAACACACCTTTTTTATAATAAAGTAAATGTTTTCCTATGAACAAATCAAATTTCCTATAAACAATGTACGATAATGCCATTTATTGACAATTTAAAAATTAAACTATTTTTAACGCGTTTATTTTGGTTCCCGAGTTTTCAACCCCTTTTCTGCTAAATTTTAATTTGCCATATATATCATTGTCGTTTTATCATTTGTAATCATGTAAATAGGAAAAATTATCATATTTTCAATTTTTAAATGAAACTTTTGATAAAGATTTCCATGCACATTGTTACGGATATTCGGTGACTGATCATGGTGTCAAAGTTTCCCACGCGTCATCTAGTAATTGATTCAATAGGAGAAGAAAGAAGAAACATAAGTAACAGTAACAGTAGTATTATACTATTAACAAAATTAAAAGTGTTTTAGAATTTACACTTATACATCAACATTTAATTAACTAAAGATTCCTAAAATAACGAGAAATAAACACCGAAATGTTTGAAACTTAAGGAGAACATTTTGAATATTTTCAGTTAAGTGCGTGCCTTGTCAAATAAATAGGATTAGGACATAGCTTTCTTCGAGCCTTTTAAGTAGGAAAACTCTTAGAAAATAAAATTACTGCTTAAAAGGATCTCTTGGGCCTAATTTTCTCATGATTCTTTGTTATTTTTTTTTTCTTGGGCGTATATTTAACATTTTCGCCGTTATACTACTGCGCATGTGCTTATGCATTCATGAAATTTTCAAACATAAAATCTAATATAGAAAATAACTACTACTTGTTATTCTAGTGAATGCCAGGTCCGCTTTTAAAAGTTTGTAAAATAAGATGTAAGGCTTTATACATACGATTCATTTCAAGACGAACGGCTTTCTCCTGCGGGGGAACGAGATGCGTATTCGTCGCTCGGCATTTAAAAGTAGTGTTGAGGTCCTCCCTATGGAGTTTTTGAATTTCTAAACGATTCACAACCACGTGCGTATCAGTTTTCACTCCAATAAATTTGGGCTCCCCAGTTCCATTAATTAGCCAGGAGACAACGGGTTGTGGGCGTCCTAAAAATTTAAATAATTAGCGTAAAGGTTTTAGAATAAATGTATCTCTAAATGGACGTGCGTATTCTGTATTTAAATAAACAAAATAAAAAAAAACAATTTCATTTTGTGGCTTTTGACAACGGACGCTGAAAATCACTTTAACTCTTTAGGAGTAAAAAATTAGAATAAAAATACCTGTTATTTAAAATTAATGTTAAAAATTTTAGTCTCCTGCTTTCCAATAGACGTCAAATGCACAATATAATGTGTATACAAATTAATTAAAATTATTGACCAGAATGAGACGAGTAACGTTTTGATTGTAATAGTTGATCTGTTATGATTGCGTCTGAGAAAAGAATAACATGGTCTGCAGTAGTGGCTTTTACCTTTTTCAACAATATTTTGCCTATAATTACCCTCTTTGCTTATAGTTTATACATTTAAGAAATGTTTCTTTGTTTGTATATTCTTTACTGTACTAAAAGTTTGTACAAAGGCGAACTTCCTCTCTTAATACTCACTACAATATTTTTTGTACCAAAAAATAACTTACAACTTGTATAATAATATATCACACATGGTAACAAAGATGTAGTATACCTATGGTATGAATGATCTAGAAAAACAAAAAAAAATGGTTTTATATTAGTACTTATGTAAATTGTAACTAGGTACGAAAACAGAGCTTTTGTCTTGACCCCAACCCTACTAAGTGATACACAGTGACATAGTCCCGAGGTTAAGCATACAACCTCAAAAAATCTCTCTGTTCTTAGACACACTAAAAATATTGTTTGTGGCTTCTAGGCAAATGAAAATATTCTTTTAGGTATCATAATAAAAAAAAAATGCATAATTTCAATGCAATTTGATCTTGATCCAGATAAGGCGTTTAAAGAAATTATTGACCAGGCTCCTCGTTGCATCATCACAATTGTGGGCGCACGAGCAGAGATAATCCGTGCCGCGCACCTACTGGCACATTGCCAGCCGGTTATACTGCGGACTTTTCAATAAACTCATTCGATTGGAATATCTCTCCCAATGTAACTACAAAAGAAATGAAGTGACAAAAAATAAAGAGCACCGTTACCGATAACGGCCTTTGAGTCGGTATGACATCATACAGCATACTGAACTTTAATTATTAAGCATCTTTGTCAATCAATATTTAAATATTCAAATTATTGACTTACCTCCCCTCACTTCACAAACCAAAACCAATGCTGACCCTTCTTCTAATGGACCCACAATGCCCGATACGTCTGCACCAGATTTGTCATACAACAGCATTTGATGTGGTGGCACTGTAAAATTTTCTTCAATTGTACAATATTCTTTTCGTATATATTTCAAAATAATGTACATTCCTGTTAATAATGTAGAAGTAAGTTTCTTACACACTATAAAGTAAGAAGCTTTCAGTGAATTATAAATCGCGTAAATATGCCCATTACTATTTTGTTATGAATGCTTTTGAAATTGGAAGCGCTCTTTGTGGCGGGAAAGCCTTTGATAACAAAAGATTTCTTGCAAATTACCTCTCGGCTGGAGAAGCCTAATGGATTCCAATTGAGTTGCATATATGCGATGTAGGCTTACACTTAAATGCTTTGTTCTGTGTAAAAGAAATTCGCGTTCGCAAGCTCGTTTTCTTGGCGTTTTTTGACGCCTTCAACAGGGTAATTTTCCTTGAACGTCGCGCATTATAATAATTGTAATGAAATGTATTATTATCAATTTACTAGTACAAGTTTCGTAAAGATTTAACAAAGTTCGTCGTTTTTAGCCCCCAAATTAACTATAAATATGTGTACAAAGTAGAAATTACCATTGTAATTGTTCCGTGGAAATTTCAATAAAACATAACCGTATACCGTTGTTTATATTAAGTTTGAAATAAAGAAATGTGAATTTAAGTGGAAGGGAAAAATACATTTGAACGTATATTGTATAGCACACATACAAGCCTATGACAATATGAAGATTAAATAAATAAATAAATATTTTAGGACACATTTTTACACAACATTTTCTAGTCCCAAACTAAGCAACGCTTGTACTATGGGTACTAGAAAACTGATAAACATACTTAAACATACTTTTCTTTTGTAAATAAATACATATTATAGATATATAAAACACCCAGACACTAGAAAAACACTATGTTCATCACAAAATATTTTTCTTGTAGTGGGGATCGAACCCACACCCTCAGGAGGCAGGTACACTACCCACTACGCCGTTCGGGTCGTCATATGATAGGAGAAAAAAGCATAGTCAACTGAATATTAATTTTGCCAGTACTTAATTATGTATATACTGTAATCAGATTAAATAGAATAAATGATGAAATGAAAATGTAGTAAAACATTTAAAACTTGTAAGATTTTACTTTCTTACAGTGCCTTCCGCAGATTATTATCAGACTCGTGGCAGACGGGCATCGCTTTTATCAAAACTGGCTGAGCAATCTTGGAATCCCGAGTCGACAGTCCATAATTAAAACGTCTACGAGACGTCATTACCCGCTAACCGAGATGGTGCCCGGATTCATTCATAAAAGCTAAATTGATTTGCCCTGCCGACGGTGGAAATTTATATCGAATAAAAGCAAATTAATTTGTGATCCAGTTATTATAAGATAAGAAAGTTCGTTATAATGAACATAAGATCGACCTATCTGCTATCATACACGTGTTTGTAATGTTATGTGAAGACATAGTCAGCAGTATAATAATAGTCGTATGCTAATAAAAACATAACAACATGGTAGAAAATTTTGGTTGACAGTTTGTCTTTAAAAAATAATTCAACTAAACTCCTTTTCACATTTTACTTCTGGAATAGCTTTATTTTAGCGGTGCAATAAAATCTCAAGTTCCTATATATTCCTATATAAATAGCTCGTACAGCTCCCTCGACCAACAAGAGAAGGCAGGAAAGATACAGCGAGTTTTTTAAAGGCAATCGTCTTTTATACGATAAATTTTATTGAGGATTTTGTATCAACTTAAGATCATACGATAGTCAAAGTTATTAAACAAATCTAATTTATGCTTCCATCTAAATTAACACGTCCAATGAGGCACTTTCTCAAATAATTCACATTCAAATATTCTTATCATTTCGACCTACGTTTTACTAAAACGTCATTTCATTATACGATTAGGACACGGGTGCTACTTTCTTCAATTCATTTCACACACCCATCAATATATAATAGGAAGCGCGGACAAACAAACATGTAAATTTCCAATTCAAATTCTCACCTATAACTATTAGGCGTATCTGGAAATTTCTCGTTGGCGAATTCTTGAAATCGACGCGACACCTGTACACGCCTTCGTCGTCCAACTGCACAGAGCTAAGAGTGAGAGAAGCAGGCCTTGCGATAGTCGCAAAATAGGCCCGCGGACCGAACGCCCCGGGATCGGACCATTGGAGCGCTTTGATGAACGAACGCCCACGTACGTCAAAGCTGAAAAATGAAGAAGAGCTCTTAAAATTATTTAAAATAATATAAATATTTAAACAAAGTACAGTACTGACTTCCTCTTAGCATATTCTAGTGTAAAGTCACAGTACAGTAAGAGTACACGTATCCCACTGTTGGGCAAAGGCCTCCTGTGTACAGAGAGTATCAAGGAATAGTCCACCACTGCGGATTGGCGGACTTCACATATCTTCGAAATGTTTATTCCGAAAATATGCGGGTTTCCTCATGATTATTCCTTCACCGCTGAGCACGTGATAAGTCAGCACTTAAAATTAACAATTTCATTGGTGCAGGCACCGGGATCGGACACTGACCTTTTTACTGTAATGTGCGGATATCATTTCTTAAAATGTGCATATAAACTTTTCTGTGGATACGTGACATCGGTAATCCTGCCCGTGCCATGTACGTCTCAGATAAATGACTCTATTATTGTCTCGTCAAGTGCCAAGTCGTAGATATGTAAAACTAGTAAAAAAGTTAAGACTGATTTACAAGTCATTGAGATTTTTATTTGTTTAGTTTAAAATCCTAACGCTGCTCTAACTACACTGAGTAGGCCATCGCTGCCTTATCGATAAATTTTATTTTATATTTATCTTGTACTTTTTATAAGGGATGACAACATAGCAAATGATTCATTTGATGATAAGGCAGGGCAAATAGATGTTGCTAACTCAATGAACTGAAAGCAAAAAAACAAATAATTTTACTCCACGCGAGTCTTCTCTGAGGTGATGATACATACACATGGAGCTGACACATAGGTGTAGCAAAAGTTATTGCTGTTTTTGCAATTAGGAAGGTTAGGCAGCTATCAGACATCGACACTGCCAGACTTGTTTACTACAGTTATTTTCACAGCATCTTGTCGTACGGCATTTTGTTGTGGGGTAGTGCATCTGATATAAATTCAATATTTATTATTCAAAAAAGAGCTGTCCGAGCAATTTATAACATCGGAGCCCGGAATACACTCAGAGATCTTTTTAAAGAGATTAATATACTCACTGTTGCGTCTCAATATATTTATTGTAATATTTTGTATGTTAAACAGAATATTAATAATTATTATCAAAAGAATAGTGACAGACATAAACTAAATACTAGAAATAAGGACAAACTAACTACGCCATTATTTCGCCTACAAAAAGTAAACAGATCGTTCATGGGGCAAAGTGTGCGCATGTATAATAAAATCCCACAGTCGATGTTAAGTCTGCCACTTGATGAATTTAAACGAAAACTTAAAAGTACACTTATGGCTAAAGCCTATTATACTATTGCCGAATATCTTGACGACGCCAATGTGTGGGGTTAATACTGTTGATACTCACGTAGGCTAAAACAAGACTATTGTATCTGTACTATTATATTGTAAACTGATTTTTTAAAAAAGAGCAACTGTTGAGTTTCTTGCCGGTTTCTTCTCAACAGAAACTGCTTTAGACTATTGTATCTGTACTATTATATTGTAAACTGATTTTTTAAAAAAGAGCAACTGTTGAGTTTCTTGCCGGTTTCTTCTCAACAGAAACTGCTTTCCGAACCGGTGGTAACTTACGAACGTGTTAATTTCTTGTAAAATTTTGACGTTTCATAAGAACGCGCAAGCGTCTATGTGAATAAAGATATTTTATTATTATTATGGGGGGATATTCATTTGTTTCCTCGTCTGGTTGGGTTTATAAATAAAAATATAGATACATATTGCATATATAAAATAAATATTATGGATAAAAATATATATAAAATATTTTATATAATACATATATAAATAGGACCCAACCAGACGGAAGCCCTCGGCAGGGGAGACCAAACGGCCGAGGGTTAGGGCGATAGGGAGAGAAACCGGCGGACGATGCGGGCGGTATCGAGGAGCACCGCTTTCTGCATTTGAGCTTGGAGCGATCCGTCCCGGAGTCCCAGTCGCCTCAGATGTTTGGAGAGGGTAACTGGGATTAACCCATTCGCAGACACGACTATCGGGATAATTTCGTTCGGCACACCACCCCACATGTCAGTCACCTCGTGAGCCAGGTCCAGATACTTTGTCTTCTTATCTGTTTCGGCTTTCACGTCATATGGAATGGTAATGTCGACCAAAAATACCCGCGACTGTGCCCGGTCCATCACCACGATGTCAGGTTTGTTCGCGACAATCGTCCTGTCCGTGATGATGGGCCGGTCCCAATAGAGCCTGGCGCGGTCATTTTCGAGCACGGCCTCCGGAGAGTACTTATAGTACGGCAGTTTCCGATCCACGAAGCCGTATTTTTTATTTATTATTATTATTGTTCATGCTGTTATTATTCTTACTGTTTTTGTCACAGACAATCCGAGCAAATTGATGCTTAAGTTATTAACTCTTAAATTGAAAAAGTTTTCAATTTCTTTCAAAATTATGTTTAAAATGATACGTTATTTACAACATATCCTTAACACACGCACACTCATCCGGTACACAGCGGAAAGTCAATATGTACAATATCTAGGTAATACAGATAATCCGGCTGCTAATAAATAAATAATAATATTGACATATGTATGCTACTGGGAGTTTCAGATAACTGATTAAGCTCAAGTTGCGCATAATTAATATTGCGAATAATAACAAATAATAGCATAGCTTGATTTTATGTTACATTAGAATTAGTAAAACATTTATAATATAAATATTCTTTTCTTTTTCTTTTTTTCGTAACAAAGAAACTTTCCTTAAAAACTTCCAAAAGAACTTTACTTAAAACTTTGAGTTATTGACCAAATTAAATGCTCATTCAGTCGATCTCATCGGAGATTATCCTCGACACGTCGCCTTATCTCCAGGATATTAGTGTCGAAGTCACTTAAGAGTAGGTAAGCTATTTTCGACAAGGAAAATTTCAAAGTATTATTAAAGTATAAGTACAATTAAATGACAATGTGGTTAATGATAGGCAGTGGCCCCTTATCAGTTTAATTGCAGTTTAATTTAAGCAATTACATTTGTACTTGTTTAAGCTTAAGAAAATCATTTTCGCATACTTTATATTATAATTTAGGGAAAATTCAAATTCGTAAATCGAATTACTTTAACATTTCTGGAAACACAAGAAGAAAAAATACAAGAAAGTTAAGATCGAATTCTTGTTAAAGGCAATCCAATTAGGACGCTATTCCTTTTTAATATAAAACTCGTAAATTGTCATATAGTCCATTCATAAATTTGTTTTCTGGACAAAAAAAAACACTTTCAAAATCTCAAGTTTTTCAATTTCCGGATGGGGACTACGTTTTCTCAATTTCCGAACCTCCATTCTAATTTATAAAGCAAGAAGCTTTCACAAAGATGCTTTTATTGTGCACCCCGCTGTTCCCAGGTAAATTTAACAATTTAAGTGTGCTTTTTACAACGAAATTATTCCACAAAACATTTGCTTCACCCTCTTGTTATTGCTATCGAGATAGCTGCGATTTGGGTAATCGGTGCTGGAGTCATATAATGTGTAAGCCATGTTTCAATAAAAAAAAAAACATATTCATTCATTCCTCATCATATATTTTCTATCTATTGATTTATTATAGGTGTTAAATAAAAATTAACAAAGAAAAAAATGAAGCCTCAGAACATTCATTATTTTCAATAAAGGTATCAATAACTTTGTTCATAATTTCAAATTAGTTTTACTATAATAAATAACAACTCATATTTAAATTAGTAATGAACAGAATTTTTCAAAGACAATAAGCATTCTTGCAAATGGTTAGAGTATTCCGAAATTTGGTAAGGCCGCTTATTAATTGATAATTAATACCCATTTACCATGAGCTCGGCGGTGGGGGAAAATATCATGATGAAGTCTCATATCCAAGAACATATGTGAATGACTGCCAATGTGTATTAGGGTCGCGTAGCGGGCAATGCCCTAATACTCTTTGTACAGAGCACCTTTACCTAATACTATATACATATTCATTATTTACGTAGCAGATATATATACTTTGCGAGGCTGAGCCGTGCTAGCTCAGTGTCCGGGCACTCGCCTTGAATTCCATATACTCGAGCAACCTGAATTCGATCCCCGGTGCCGGCACAAATGAAGTTTTTAACTTTAAGTGCTGACTTGTCACGTGATTAGCGGTGAAGGAAAACATCGCGAGAAAACCAGCATATTTTCGAAATAATAACAAGGAAAATATTTCGAAGATATGTAAAGGCCGCCAGTCCGCAATGGCGCCGCGTGGCGGACTATGATACCCTGATAGCCTCTGTATAGAGAAGGCCTTTGCCCAGGTGTGGGACATGTATGGGCATGTGGGAAATGTAGACATGTATGCATTACTTCTACTTTGCGATGCACTACATGTCTACACCGCGCTGTACAGATATTTATTGCTGTTGTTACAAATGATCTTATCTTCGTAGGATTGAAATATTTTAAACAGCGTTATTGGCATATTACGTGCCGTTTCAGGACTACTTAGTACATTACGCAAGTCACATCCCACCTTCTACATAATTTGGGTCGACTCCTTTCCCAATTTCATTACCACGCTTCTTTTTAAACAATAAACTTTCCTAGCAACATGCCTGGACTGTCGTAAGCGTCAAGTGTGATACCGTTAACGACCTGCGTGAAACGTCTTAAGTGTGTTTCCTTGTAGATGTACTTTATAAAGCTAATTGGATTGACTCGACTCGGCTTCCGCTCATCCGTTTAAGGCAGCGCGAACGGTTCATTAGGCCTCTCTTAACAGTACTAATTAAATAAGCATTCGGGATAATATTTTCGAACTGGAATAGCTTGTGAAAATTGATCGAATTAGCTGACATATTAGAGAAAAAATAATGACTTTATTCCCGACAGCTCTTCACGGGGTTTAGTACCAATACAAAATAGATTAACATGCTCGATCGAAAGCTATTACTTTTAACTTTTATATATTTATTTTAAATATAATACATTGAAATTTAGTAAAATAACTTAAATTCAGTTTGCTGAATGGAATTTCGATAAACGTACCGAATTGAACTGTAAAAATTATTCTAATTATTATTATAATTTTTACAAAAAATAATATATTATTTAATATTATATATATTATTTATATATTATTTAATAATTTTAACCAAAAAAATTTGAAGAAATCAAAGGTTTAAACAAACTTACCTGTATATCGGTTTTCCGCCGCTTTTGCGAAACCAAAGCACCATATAGACACGATCTTCGTTTGTGTCCGGAGTAACGTCACATGGCAGAGACGCTGTTCGGCCAAGTACTGCATCTACGTCCACGGTTGATACTATGACAAAATTAAATTTTGTCTGGTTATTTTAAAAAGTAGCATTCAATTTAAAATTATTTAAACTTAAAAGTTATACAAGCACACATAGCATCATTTTATATGTCAAGGCCAAAAATCATTTCTGAATTAAAAACCTTCACAAAAATTTGTCGCGGCCTGTTAAAAATTGTTTGGCGAAAATACAAAGTAATAAATACTGAACGAGTGAGAAAAACAAATGTTACAATTGTATTCATCGGTGAGCTTTATTAAAGTCAGAAACATAAAAGAAAGACTGTTCCAGACGCAATACATTTATTTATAATAAAAGTAAATTAATGAAAGCGCCAGTAGGTAAACTTTATTGAGTTAAGTCCATGTTTGCATTTGAATCCTTATGAAATGATAACAGAAAAGAGAGCTGCTAATTTAATATTGTGTTAATTTAAACGACATAAAAAAATATGACTAGCCACTTTTAGCTTTTATATTCATTGGAAAATAAATGTACGTAACGTTTGTAGAATATAAAAAATATAGCAGCAAATTTTTTCCCCTGGCTCCACTGGCCCTAGTTAAAACCAACATTTATCTCGGCGTACTTAATTGAAGCTCTCCGTTTGCTCTTCGTAAATAATTTATATCAATCTTTTAAAATGCTACTTGCGCTGGATGAGGTATTTTTATTAAGCTCTTAATACATATTTTCCTGTGTTGCCTTATTCCAAAAAAAATATTTAATTCATTTGGTCTCTACAGCCGGGCTCAATTAAAGCGTAGGCGCAGGAATAAAGAATATTACTTTAATTGTAGTATAGAATTCTGCTTTTCTTATGCCCGGTTTCTGAGGCTTATGTCGGCAGGCTATTCGTTATCGCTATTGGTTCGATAACATACGAAAGTGCGTTTCTAAAAACCGCCACGTAAGATGAATTTCGTTTTTAACTCAGGTTAACCAAACTGACCATTGAATGCCGTCTATCGGTTCCATAACTTTGACGTTTTATTCCTTAAGAACCACAAGTTTTAGGTCAGTTCGTGTAATCAATATATAACAATAAATTATCGGTGAGAACTTTTTTTTTATTTCAAAGGTTGCCAAACGAGCCGACGGTTCACCTGATGTTAAGTGAATACCGCCGAACATCTGCTACACCCGAGGGTTGCAGATGACAACCTTTTGAAAATTGGGGTCCGGCCACCTCACTCACCAGACGAAACGCGAAAGTATTATACTTCCACGTTACGCCGGTCGTCTATGAGTTCGTGGTACTTACCTGGTCAGACCTCACCATATCTGTAATAGCGAATATTGTTGCGTGGTCCTACCATAAAAACCTTTACGAGAAGTAATAATCTATACTACCACTAATTAAGTAAAGCAAACCTACTTGATGATTGCAATTAGGTAGGTTTGTTTGATAATTTCTTGTATTTACGCTATTACCCATTATAAATGAAACTAATTTTTTTTACGGATTTATCGCGTTTATATTTAATTCACGACGACTAAATTCCAGACTGACAGTCTGTCCCGTGACTACTCTCACGATTGTTCTTTGTGGCAGTCTGTGCGGGAGAACCATGTTTAGAAGGTGACTCGAACAGGCTGAAAAACTTATTTGCGATTAAGTCCATGAATCCTTTTTGTTAAATTATTTTTAATCCCCCTCCCCCCCCCCCATCAAAATAAAATTAATATAATCCATTAAACAGTTCTCGCAAAAACATTGTCGATTGTCAAATTCCATAAAGGTTCCATTTACATTAATTTACATACACTTACATAGACAACATGTCGTATGTAATATAAAAGCCAAAAGATTCGCGATGTGTAATCCAGTTATAGCAAAGAGCTACAATGAAATTTTCAACCTTCTCTTTAAATACTAGTTACTCAATAAGTCTTATATGTACGTGAATCGTGTTACTTATGAATTCGTTATTGCGTGAAACGTGGAAATCGCCGGGACGAGGCATGCATTATGATAATTTGTGTCGTATCCGACGGAAGAGGCAGTGCTCCGTGTAATATTCGACGACACGTGAGACGCAACTCGCCCAAATCCTAACGTTATAATAAATGGGCTAGTAATAATGGTTTTGTTTGTTCCAATTACACCATTGTATATGTATACACTTAGTTATTATTTGATTTTGTTGCAATATTCAAAAGGATATAATATATAAAGAAATAAAAATAAATAAATAAAATATGACATTATAACGGTTTAACAATGATGATATCGATACGTTAATACGTCGAAAATGTTGCAAGATTTAACAAGGTGGCATGGAATTGTTTTATGTATATTTATATATTACATAATACATATTACATGAGCGTTATAGATATTAAATATAGACTGAATCGCAAAATTTAACCACTCAGGTTAAATTTAATACTAATTGACGCTATACAGAACATCCATTATGTAACTTAATAAACAATCCTAGAGACGTTCCTTTTATTGACAATGTTTTTGCTGTTCAAAGCTGTAGGTGCTTATTAGGCGGTATGAATTGTATACAACAACTTGCAGGTATATTAGTACGTTAACATATCGAATGTGCCGGACTAGAAATGACTTCGAGCACGCGATACTTTTACTTTGATTCGCGTCCTAGAACCTTATAAGAATGTGAACTCGCCAATAACAACAGTTCTTATACATATTTTGCCCCATAATGCGTCGAAATCATTCATGATTTTGTCGTGGGGTCAGTCTAATCAACTTATCTAATTCAGTCATAATTGACGAATGACATAATTCATCAATTATGACAGTAGGCTAACGGTTTATGGTATAAAAAACATAAACTATTAGATTTTTAAACGGATAATATTTAAAAGACACGGCAATCTCTCTTATTTCTCAAATAGCGACCCTCCCCGGCTTCGCACTGGTGCAAGGTATTATACATATAAGCGTTCCTCTAGAATCACTCTATCTAGTGAAAAACGCACCAAGATCTGTTGCGTAGTTTTAAAGATCTACGCATGCATAGCGACAGCCAGACAGCGGGACGACTTTGTTTTATACTATGTAGTGGTGTCAAATGTCAAGGAAGATATGAAGAAGAAGACGACTTGCCGTTTTTAAAAAAGTATATTTTTTTTTGCTTGGTGTGCATTTAGCTTGGATTTTTTTTAAATGACTATATAGTAAAAATCTAGTCGATTATTCATTCGAATACATATCACGTGAAGATTTGAAATCGGTCAGCGAGTCTGGAAGCCGGAGCTCCGCGTTCTCCCCGCGGTATGACAACACGTGACTAGACTTTATTCAGCTCCGTATCTTCGTTCTTCCCCTACAGATCAATATGTTCATTTTAACCGGCTTATGTCTGCTGGTGTTTCTATATCTCGCGTGTTAAATTGTTGTCTTACAAGCCACCACAGTCTTTCCGATATTAAATACACCACGCTACTCTTATAAAATTTACTTTTCTGGTTGGGTGATAATGAATTTACAGCTCTCGGATTTAATGACTAATAAAGAAAAAAATCTACAAAATTATACAATATGCAATTAGATTTATGCTTAATGAAAGAAACTCTTCCTTGTGTTGATACTTACCCATATTACAATGCTTACCTAATATATATTAAATTGAAGAAAATGTTAGTGAATCAATTACAACAATCTTTAGTTACACATAATTACATTATTTCAAATAATAACATTTCTGTTGAGATATATTTAAGATAACAATTGTTTAACCGTATTTTTATCCATTTATTTTTATTTTAGCTGATGTTGTATGTTGAGAGCAAGAAAGCCGTTGTCACTGTCACATTTCCTTTCTCATTATCATGTGGATATTCAAAAGCTAAGCAACAATAGTATCAAGTTTGTAGTAGTACTTGCAATACCGATGATGTCACATTAAGCTATCTATTTTTATCACAGTGATATTAAATGTATCTTGATACATATTAAAATAAATTATAATAATTATGTATTAAAATTAACACAGTGATATTAAAATCTTTAGTCGATGCTAATTTAAATTTATACCTTTATTAGAATTAATATAAGGATACAGGACAATTAAGCAGACCTTGAGGGTACTACAGGCAATCTGTAGTTCAGATAATATAACGTAAGATTACGGTGTGTTCGTGTGAAATTGGTGCATACTTCATCCTTTGTACTCAACTAAATTAGGCGGATCGAGGTAATCATACAGTTTGTCAGGGAAAGTAAATTGATTTCTATGTGAAGCTTTGGTTAATCTCGGATAACCTTCCTTAACAACGTTCTTTAATAATTAAATTAATTACACGTAAGTGAATTGTCTGTATAAAATTTATAATTACGTTTGCATTACTTCCTTTCTTTAAACAAAGAATGTTATTCGTCCTTTATATTAAATGAGTTTTAAATTACACGCCCATATTTATATTCAAAGTTATACTCCGTTTAAAATACGCATAATATAAAAGCACTTTAATTTAATTTTCAATTACGACGTACACTAACGACTGGGCGGGGTGGTTACTTAATTGAAAGTAATAAAAAGACTCCTTGCAAAGTAAGAAATCTGAATGATTAGTTTCTTTAATATTACACATATTTTAAATAATTTTGGCAATTGCTTAGTACTTGGTTTATCACTCGTAAAATATTTAACATCAAAGGAATTTATTTTGTTAGTAGTAATATAATATAATAATTCACCCATTGACATTGATTGAAATTGTGCTAAGAGGAAGGCAGAACGGTAATATGTAAACTCTTTCGTATAATAAATAATAATAATAGTCTTTTATTCAGATCATTCTTACAAATATATGAACATGAAAAACTGTAATTTAAAATTAAATCTTAATCTAGTTAATCTTTTATTTGAAATTTGCTTATTTTTTGTAGATCTGTTTGCCAGTCGGCAAAGGCCTCCTCCAATCTTTTCCACTCATATCTTTCTTGAGCCACCCTATTCCATATTATGCCTGCCACTTGTCTTATGTCGTCATCCCACCTTTTTTGGGGTCTCCCTCTTTTCCGTTT